TTTTTTTTTTTTTTTTGTTGAAAAGGCGAAATTATTATCAAAACTTTTGTGTCCTTAAAATTTTATAGTCAGTCGAGCCGGCCGTTTCGGTGAAATTTTCCTCACTTTAACATTGAGAACAGCGATTCGTGCAGCGAGAAAAACGTGCTTAAAGTTTTGGAAGGCAATTACACTATTTTAAAAAATTTATTCAAATATGCTAACATTTTGTAAAATATTTTAAAATATTGATTTATCGCATTTTGACCGAACATTTGTCCTTATGAAAGTTTATTCCGCACAAATTGACTGACGACCAAAAATTGCTCAGAATGCTCGACGCTTGGGACCGATTATTTGAGCAAAAATCACATTTTAACCATTAACCACTCCCCATATTCACCTGATATATCACCGTGCGACTCTTCCTTTTCGGAGAAATGCGTTTACCCATGAAAGGAAATCATTATGCAGACGCAGAGGCCATTCAAAACGCTTGCACCGGCATACTGGTGGCTATACTGACCAACGAGCTAAAACACTCGTTCGACATGCTTTTGGGCCGTGCAAAAAGCTGTATTGAAGCAGAAGAAGACTATTTTGAATAAAACTAATTGATTTTGCCGAACTGCTGAAGACCTTGTATATACAAATATTTTTTAGAGTTCTATTTGAATAATATAAATATAATGCCAAAAAATTTGATGTTATTTACTGTAAATCTTCTTCAAATTATTATAGACTAGTGCTGGTAAAAAAGCTGATCTGCCTAGCTTCTTTTTTAAGGGTAGGAATGGTTTATCTCGATATCCGGTGAAACTAAGAGCCCTAACGAAAAGAGTTATATGTCAATTTTGTCGGTAATAAAAGCGTCTATAACTTCTTTCACATAACCTTAAGATGTATGTGAAAAATTTTTGCAAATAAACTTTTGAGCTTTTAACTTTTCTGGAAATTTGGTGAAAATTATAAAGCTGCATTTACTACATTTTATATATTATATCTAATATATACGACTTTTGAAAACAGTTACCTGCCTTTAGGAAACCAGTTATATTTTAAGCATATTTGGACATTATAGACATCCAAACCTACAGATCGGTTCACCAATTAAAATTATAAAGGTTGGAGTTATTTTTGTTTATGTATATCTCTTTTTTACTTGAACTGCTATCAAATTCCCTCATCTTGCGGTTAAAAATATTTTACTTTGATTTTCATCATTTTCTCTTAACCAAATAATTTACTATATACATGCCGTTTCTCGCGGTGTTATGAAATCCAAGGCACCAGAAACCTCCCATCTTGTATAAATAAAACCTATAAGCTTTAAAAAGTAAAAATTTAATTCAAATGATTGCTTAGCTTCACGCTGTTTTGCCGCCAGCGCAAAACCAAAGAAGGTTGTACTTCCAAAGCGATGCAATTAAAATTTTCACTTTCCATTTGCCCGCGCTCGCACACACGCCTTAAAAAACAAAAAAAAAAAAAAGAAAAAAAACATTACATGAAAAATTGAACACAAAAAATGTTCAAAGCAAATAAACAGGGGCATTAAATAAACTCCACGCTGGAATAAATTAAGTTAAATGAATGAGAAACAGAAACAACAACAAATGAAAATCTAAAACAACATTAAATGAATAAGCAAAACAACAATAAAGGAAAACCAAAACGACAATAACAAAACACAAAAATTAAAAAAAAAAAAATTAAAAGAAAAACCTCCGCGTCACTAATACTATTAAAATGACGCACAGTATCTGCCACAAACCAATATTACACTAGGCATTCTAATGCCATAAGAATTCTTAAAACAAATTAGTGCAAGTGGAACTTAAATTTGTTTGCATTTCGAGCAACGCGCTCCACGCGCTTCAATGAAGCTTGTTTCTATCATTTTCATCACTTTCATTGCTCTGCCGCGGCGCAACGGTAATGATTTAAGTCGCCAAGCAACCGTTAAAAGCAGAACACAACACGCGTAGCCGCCAATTGTATTGACTGACTGCTTGACGGCTGTGTTTGGTGGAATTTTGGGCTTTCGGCGACGCCCACAAGAACAAATCTGCTTAGCGTCTGCGGCGAAGGTCGGCTGTCGCGGCAACACAACTTCAAAGCTGCCACGCTGACTTAACCGCCTGCGTGCCTCAGCGCAGCAACTGGGGATACTTGATATTGTTGGTGAAGTGTGTATGTGTGAGTGTGTGTATGTCTCCTGCTGGTCTTGGCTTACAGCTCTGCGTTGATGCGCGGGGTAACTCAAATGTCTCACTGAGTGACTGACTGACTCATTGACTACCGCATAATTCACTCTGCCAAATACACATTTTGTACAGCTACATAATCGACGGATATGCTCATATACAGACATAGTACTATATACCACTTGCAATGGTGACTAACACGTGAGCGCCGCATGAAATCCTAAGATCTTCATTTACATACTGTTTTACTTACCATTGTTATCTTTATCACTGCTTTGCGTATTGTTCAGGTTGTTGTAACGCTGTTAGTGAAACGTTATAGAATTTTGTGTTATTGGTACTTACTTACAAGCTCATTACTTTCGCTGTTCTTTTTTGGTAAAACCCAGCGTGTTTTAGAAGGCAAGGAACGAAAGAGAAATAGCTTTGCAAGTAAGTGAAAAATTTGTTGAGTAATTATTGCTTAATCTTTATTCCAGATTTAAATCAAAAACATTTTTATCCTTAGCGTTTACTAAATGCTGTTTTAATATGTTATTTTTATTCATGAAAGTGATATTGGTGTTATTCTCATTTCTAAATGAGCAACCATATCAACTCCACTATACTTTACTCCTTCCCAAAATATCAATTTTAGAAAACAAAGTATTTTTTCCCACACTTTGGTGGAACTCTGTCGCTGTTGTTGACATATGACATATGACAAAGCTCTTAGAGATATCGGAAATCAACTACAATCAAGCATATTTATGTTTAACATCTTTTAGAGAAGTAAGCTTAAATGTGGTAGAAAGGCACACTTCTAAACCCTTTACCATTTCCGAAATTTTTAAGTGCTGTATTAAAAATAAGTTATCCTTTGCAGTTAATCAGCACAGGATTCTCTCTGATCGCTCTACTGTGTCAAATTTAGCTATTTTTGTAATAACTGCATTTTTCATTATTTAGGTTTTCACTCTGCATTCTTGCAGTGGATTAAGTCTTATTTGCGAAATAGAAGTTGTGTTGTTACTGTCGTTGGGGTGTCATCCGATTCTTCCATTGCGTCATTGGGAGTGCCACCAGGAAGTGGTTTAGGTCCTCTTCTCTTTTTGCTATTTATCAACGTCATTTACTATTGCTTTCTTTTGCAATCAAAGCTGCGAAAATGTAAGTAAACTTCAGTGTGATATT